TTTAAATATTAAGTGCTCTCCCGTAGATTTCATATGTAAACCATGATGTCACTGCCACGATGGAGTTTGTGAATCCAAAAATGGTGGATGATTAAGTTACTCTAATTTATTGTTTATGTTTAAAACTAGTCGGAATGTTGCAAATTATTAGATTTCAATGTGTTTGGAGTTTTCTTAAAAACAAAAACTATATAGTTACAGTTAGTTTTATATTTTAACCATATGTTCGAACCGATAACATATATTTGTTACTATTATTCTTATTTAATGTAACTATTTTCTTGAAGATTGACAGTGAGAAGGATGAAAGATTCAAAATTTTAATGATGTCGTAGGGCTTGTCGGTATCTGGAGGGGTTCGTGGCTTTAAAAGTTGTCACCAACCATTGTTAATTAATAATTATAGCTCAGTGGAAAAACAAGAGCTCGATAGAGAAAAGCATAGAATGGGGCAATGGGCTAGGATTTTTAAAGGATATGGCAATTTTGGATGGATGGCTTAATCTAATGGTCTTGATTGTTGGGCTCAATTTAATTATAACTGGAACGTATGTGATTAACATATGGGCTTAAATAGTGATCATGGGAAAAAGGAATTAAAGGTGTGTAGGGCGACATTGTGACAGGGCAAGCCCAATAATAAGGATAGTTGGGTGACGGCCCAAAACCACTAACTTTTTAATGCTTTATCTTTTATACCCTAATATAATTAGTATAGAAAAAAACTTTTAGTTTTGGGCTTTTGGTCTCCTAACTTTAATCATCATGTATTCCGCTCGGATGAAAAGCAAGTTTATGGTGAAACGATCAAAAAAAAAATTATGGTGAAACCATATTTTACATAGAAACTCATTTAGAATTTTAACGTGAAGAAAGAAGAGATGCGTTTCACCCAATTTTGCAAAGAACTCATTAATTTTGTATCAAAATCATGAGAGCTGTTTCCGCTAATAAAATAGAGTGGGTTGTAAACAACCTAGCTAGGTGCCTAGGTCTACACTAAATTTACAAAATAATTTTATATTCATATTTAGTCATGTCAATTGTTTTTAATATAAGAATGCATGGATGATTAGGTCTGACCTTAAAATTTCTTGGATTGAAAGTAACACCCATATTCACCATGTTTTTACTTAATCGATCGATAAAGACACAAAACTTAAGCAATTGTTGCACCCACAAACACCTTGTCCTTGTTGGGGACGTGGTGGTGATGTGTGTCATTGGGTCTCCAACTACATGAAGAGTGTTAAACTAGGTGAGGTCGGAGGCAGAGCCCCAGTGGTATCACCATAGCCACGAAGATCGGGTGTCACGACACGTTAAATGGTATAAATGCGAAGGCAAGGTAAAGAATTTGGTGTTGCCAGGTATACCAGAGCTCTAGACCCTTGGATTAAAAGGACGGTTAGGGCCTATGACGAGCTCTTTATATGTATGTTTGTTATGTTGACTGCTACCATGTTGTGGCATATCTTTTCCATTGGTTATGACTTCTTGGATGTTGTTAGGGCCGGTCCAATGATTTTGACGGTCCTATACGGAAAAAAAATGAGCCTAAATATATTTTTTGTATAAACATATAAAATTTGATATCTAATAAACCGTCATTAATTATATTAGTAATTTAGTATGTAGTATTATTAACAAAAAAAAAAAAAAAAAAAAAACTATTTATTTACACATAATCAAAGAAGATATTTAGTAACAGAAACCACTTGACGAGTTAGCAATAGATTGGCGACGAATTAGCAACGAAAATTTTCTAATATGCAAAAATTAAATTCAGACATGACATGCGGTCTCACACCTCACATGTAACTCTTTCATGTAACTCAATTTATTTTTATAAATTCCAATATAATATCGTTATTAAATTTTCACCGTATATGTTATTAAAAAACTCAATAAAATATAAATTTTAACTTTTTATTTTGTAGTAAAAACCCTATAAAATTTATAAATTCTTATTGTTATTTAATTTTTTATTTTATTGAATGCAAGCTCACAAAAAAGTTAGGATTGAAGGCAAATGAATTAAATTTGTATTAGAAAAACAATTAGCGTTGAAAAAAGCCTCAGAAAAGAAGTTTAAAAAAAGTGCAAGTTAAATATATGTTCAAAAATAGTTTGTAAATTGTAAAGGAAAAAAGTGTACACAAAGCATCCATCGCAAAGAAGAAAATGTCAATTAAATTTATATTATAAAAATAGTTTATTTTGCAAAAAACAAAACGTACATAAAGAGTAGAGAGACAGGTGTGGGCAACGTCTTTATGGTGTTATCTGATGTGGCAGCCTAATAACAGCGTCATAACGGGAGGAACACCGCCCCCTTGCCGTTATTAGGTGTTATGTTACAATACGTAATCGTGAACATGGGAGGTAAGGCGAGTTATTGCACATTTTTTTCTTCAAACGGTCACAATTTCGACCGTTTTTAAACGGTCACCTATTAAAAAAAACAAATTTTATTTACACTATAAATACGTACAATTTATATCAATGTTAACTACAAAAAACATAAATTTCTCTCAACTACATACTTCTTTCAATAATTCAAAACCAAAATATGGATCGTTTTGATCCGGCTCATCCGTACAACGATGATAACGATGAAGACGATATGTTCGTGGGTATGATGTACCGGTATTATACAGCCAGACTACTACTGTCAGATCCAGCTCCACTAGTCACGCGATGTGCGGCGTTAAATAGAGATCATGAGGAAGAGCATAGACGGCTAGTTAACGATTACTTTGCGGAAAATTGTGTCTACCAGCCAAACGATTTCAAAAGAAGGTTTCGTTTGCGAAAAAATGTGTTTGAAAGGATAGTCAGCGCCATGGAAGCAAGGTATCGTTTGTTTCAACTTTTATAATTTATAAAATGTCACTTTTAGATAAAATAAATACAAATTTTACATGTTTAATATATATTTAGTTAACGTTTGTTTCAAATTTTCTAATTTATAAATGTCACTTTTAGATAAAATAAATACAATTTTTACATGTTTAATATATATTTAGGTATGAATTTTTCCAATTGTGATATGATGCTAGAGGTAAACGAGGCTTCACAGGGTTGCAGAAATGTGTTGCTGCAATTAAACTTATGGCAATGGGGGAGTCGCCCGATTCTATTGACGATTATATGAGAATGTCTTAGAGGACCGCATGAGAAAGTTTGTATTTATTGGCAATAGGTGTTGTCGAAACCTTCGGTGACCAATACTTGCGCAAACCTTCGTTGCATGATATACAACAACTATATGCGGCGCATGAAGAAAGAAATGGTTTTCCGGATATGCTAGGGAGCATTGACTACACACACTGGAAATGGAGAAACTGCCCCATGGCGTGGAAAGGCCAGTATTTGAGCGGTCATCATGGAGCGCCTTCGTTGGTATTAGAGGCTGTTGTTTCACAAGATTTATGGATTTGACATGCTTTTTTCGGGGTTGCGGGTTCTAACAACGACGTCAACGTTCTCGATCAATCATCAATATTTGACGATCTTTTGGCAGGAAAAGCCCCGGATGCTCCTTTCACGGTGAATGAAAATGAATATAAGTTTGGGTATTACCTTACAGATGGAAAATACCCACAATATTCCACGTTTGTGAAGGCGTTTCGACACCCAATAGACCCAAGAGACAAATATTTCAAGAGACGACAAGAATGAGCACGTAAGGAAATTGAACGTGCTTTTGGGGTTTTGAAATCAAAATGGCACATAGTTGAACATGCGGCGAGACCTTATGAGTTAGATACTCTACGAGATATCATGTATGCATGTATC